ATTCCGCTAAGCTCTCAATTTTTCATCCGACAATGTTGCAGTTGGGTGGCGCTTTTCCGTGGGCGGCTCTTTACCTGCTGCACCTGTTTGCCCATTGAGGCGTTGAGTTCACCCAGCCAGCTTGTTGTCATTTCCCAGGCAGGCACGTAACTTTCCACATCAAACTTAAATTATGCAAATGTTTGCTCTAACCGGGCGCAAAATATAAATTTTGGCGCTGGGTGGATCAAGCTGGCGGACGGGGGGAATGGGAATCAAAGCCAAAAAGTTAAAACGAGACGGGCAAAACGAAAAAAGTGTGTACACGGCACGAATTATGCAACGAAATATTTGCCCAAAAATCCACAAAAGTTTAAATTGAAAAGTTTGCGGAGCTGAATAAAATGTGGGTAAATTAAATGCACGCATTTCCAAGGCAATTACTTTCCTCGGTTGAACAGCAAAAAAAACAAACAGCTGCTTGAATTGCTTGGAAAGAGATCCTTTGCAATTTCAAATGTGTGCAGTGTAGACAATCCTTTAAGTTCACAAGGGTTTTTGTCTAGTTGCAAAATATTAAGTTGTTTTCCACCGCAGAGTTTTGACTCGCTGGTGCACTGAGAAATGCCATCTAATTAATTGAATTAATTCAAAAACTGTCATGGAAAGGAACCTCGGAAAACCCTCTCTGCATTCCTTTCGTTAAGTGGACCTAATTATTCTCTAGGAGACACTCATCTTGATGTCCCGCTGGGCTTTTGTTTTCTTTAGGCAAACAGAACCAAAATAAATTTGAATTTATTTTGGCCGAATATGACACATTCTAAGATCTGCGCTGCTCTACTTGCGACTAATTGTTCGTTGGGCTGGCGGGGAATTCGAAGGGGCAAAGGTGAGTGGGTGACAAATGCCTCAGAGTTCGCCTTTGTCAGAGATTCGAATGACGGCGATATTCTTTTGGCATGACAGCTGCTTGGATGCTGGGATGCTGCTTGCAGTCATTCAAGAATATCGTGAAAACCCCTAGTGACGTGCGAAAAGTCCAAATGAAAAGCGAATATTAAGTTAATGAGTTTGGGTAATTTATTTGTCGCGTTTTGAAAGCCTTTTTTATTTCGCTCACAAGAATTTGGCTCTAATGCAGATTATAAATATATTTATTTTATATTTGGTTTAAAAGTCTTGTTGGTAAGCTCTGTTTAGATGGCTTTTGGTCGTGATGCTCTTGTCCTCTCGCCGTCGGCGTCATCGGGAAAAGGTGTACCTGCTAGCACAATTAAGTTTTCGGCACGTAAATGAATCATTCGAATAGCTTTCCTGCTCTCGTTTCGCCGCGCTTCCACGCTCTCTGGCCCGCCTTTCTTCATTTTCATCCATTTGCGGGGGCGAACGTTGCTCATACGCCCCGTTGGACGGCCGTCGGCTCGTGTTGTGTGCAATTAATAAATTTAATTAAGAAATAATGCACAAACCGCGGGCGTCGTCGTCTTGTGTCGCTCTTTCAAGTGTGAAAATTATGATTATTTTCTATATATCATTTTTGTTATTACGCGAAATGAAACATGCAAAATACATGAGAATTTATACCTCGCCGCCGCCGCTTTAAAACTATTTGGCTTAAATCATTAATATAAGTGTGCGCCTCTCTGCTGGCCCACTAAGCTTTTAATTAAATCCCAATTGCCGCACCATGCATCACGGCATCTAATCCCGGCCAGCTCGCAAAGTATTCTATGCAGTGTATTCAGGGCCAAAAACATGTACTTACGAATAGTTCACAATGGAATTTCCGATGTGATTACAGTATCGAGTGTGTTCCACGTTCCGCATGGACGGGTGCAGAAATCCCCATTTTTCTGTGTCCCCGAGCTGCAGTCACATAACTCAATCGAAATGACCCGCAGCACACGACGCCGCCTGCCAAGAAATGCCCACCGCGAGGTTTGTTTCTCGATCCTGCCTGCTTAATAGCTATTGTAATGGTCGTGACTGTATGTGCGGGTGACGTGCGGTTTTGGTTTGCTGCATTGGCGCTGCGCCTGCTTTTGGCTGCTTTTGGCTGCCAGTGGGCAGATGGCGGTCACAGGCGCAGCCGGCCGCCTAGCAACAGTTTGCAGTGCTTGCACCGCCGCCAGGTGGGTGGTGCCGCAGTGGGTGGGTGGTTGCAACTGCAGTTGTCCCCGGCCAAATAAATGGCAGGCCATTTGTCCTGGAGTGTCCTGGAAAGCCTTTCATGGTTGCTTTGTTTTGAATAATTCATTGCCCAGCATCCTACAACAATTAATGATTGTATATTTATTTTAAATTTATTTGAATAAAATAAATTCTAATCTTATAATTATCTTTCGTTAAAACATTTCTGAAGCAATATTATTTAGCTGCCTTACAAACCGTAAAATTGACAAAAAAAAAAGGGGTGTGTCCAGCCTACGCACGACAGAAGTGAAACTTCTTCATCACTACTCATTTTTATACACTTGCAGAGCAAAAGGGTATTATAATTTCAGTCAGAAGTTTGCAACGCAGTGAAGGAGACACCTCAGACCCCATAAAGTATATATATTCTTGATCAGCATCACGAGCAGAATCGGAATACGTCTGTACGTCTGTCCGTCTGTCCATCTGTCCGTCTGTCCGTTTCCGCGCAAACTAGTCTCTCAGTTTTAAAGCTATCTTGCTGAAACTTTCCCAAAAGGTGTGTAGTTATTGCACGCACGGGCCGGATCGGCCGACTATAAAGGATAGCTCCCATACGAGGGAATGAAATGAAAAATTCTCACGACGGTGTTTTTCGTCAGATCTACTTGAATTCTTCAAGATGGCGTTTTCTAACTGTTATTGAATTTCGGATTAAATTTGATCAAAATCGGATAACTCTATCATATAGCTGCCATAGGAGAGATCGAAAATTATATATAGAATTAATGGAAATAAATTGATAACATCGTTGTTTTTTATCCCATGATTTTTTGAATATCAAGTTTTTTAACAACGTTTATATTGAGAAAAAAGTTTCATAAAAATCGGTCATCTATATCTTATAGCTGCCATAGGAAAGATCGAAAAATTTATATCGAAATAATGGAAACAAATTTATAACATCGTTGTTTTTTTATCAGACAAGTATGATTTTTGGAATATAGAGTTTTCTTACGACTCTTGAATTACGAATTAAATTTGATCAAAATCGGACGACTATATCATATAGTCGTCATTTGAACAATAGTCGAAAATACGGAAAATGAATAGAAAAATCGTCATAGCTTCGATACTGTTTAGCCTTTTTGTATTTAGTTCGACATATTTGATGACTGCAAGGGTATATAAGCTTCGGCTTGCCGAAGCGAGCTTCCTTTCTTGTTAAAATTGAAATTCTGTAGGAAACCGAATAAAAGCCTTATTAGACGCTTCATTTTAGAGGTCTCGAAATGTGCTGGCGACTCTCAAAAGTTAACAAACCGATTGAGAAGAAGAAGAAGACAAATACATATCGATATGTGTTTTCATTTCTAGGTCAAATAAAATGGATAGAAATTATGGTGCCAATTAATATCTGTATGCAACCTGTTCGATTTGAATTCCTTTTGACATTCACACCTCTCACCCCTTTTTCAACTGCAACTTTGTGCGAGCGCGCTGAGAGCGAGAAAGGATAGAGGAGGATAGAGACATCGTTCGTCAGCGGTTAGAAAGGGATGGGGATCCTCGCTTTTTCGTGACGGCAATTTTCGTGACGGTAATTTTCGTGACGGTCATGAATCGGTTTTACTCCGTCCCCGAAAATCCATAACGCGCCTAAAGAAGTTTCACTTCAATATTGTATTTCACGTAGTTTTGTGCGCGCTTAGCATTATTTAAATGCTTTTTGGCAGCCGAAAGCGAATAAAGAATATATTAGAGCTTAATTAAACGTTTAAGTACTAGAGGTACAAACACTTTGGTTTACTTCCCACCCGCAATTATTTAGAATTCTGCAATTATTCCCGTTTAATCACTGTCAGAGCAGAGCAGAGAAGATCGTGTTTCAAATTGATTTGTTTCGGTCGGGGCCTTGAAATAGTTTCGAATCGCTTGGTTAATTGAGTCGAGACGCGGCTCCTGCCAATTGACAAGCCCACCAGAACCAGAACTAGACCGGGCCAGCCAGTCCCTCTCGGCCTGTCACATCTCGGTTCATCATCCCGAGAGAGCTGCCATGCCAGAATGCATAATTTCCCACACATTTTTTTTATGGCTACAGTTCAGTTTCGGCCTGCAGCTTGAGTCATCGCTGCTCGCCGACTTATTGCGAAACTATGCGAACTACAAGATTTCGCCGGCTATTTCTGTAGTCCTTATTGTTGGCATGCGCTGAGTGGCCAATAATATTTGCAATTATTTATTTCGCCGCTCGCGAGAGTGGGGGGTTATTGCCAAACCGATGAAATATGCGCCACGAATAATTCTCTACACAGCGACGGCACCCGACATCCCAAATTCCCCCTTCTTTACGAGTATATACCAAATAAATGAGCAGAACGTGCGAAAAACTTTTATGTTCTGAAGATTTTGCAACTTTGAACTTTCGCGGCGACGCGAACATGACGACATAATTGCACTGGCAATCGCAGAGCTCTTGCAACACACGCCCAACATTTGCCAGCAATTAATAAATTGAGTTCCCTTTTCTCGCTCTAATACTAGTGTGCTCTGCAATGCCATGAATGAAAATGCGCGATTTCATCTCGATTGGTGTCCAATAAATTGCAATCACACTCGTGCGGTGCTAATTAATTTGTAGATCAGAAATTATGATTAGCGGCCAGCGGCCAGCGAGCTGCAGCTGCTTTCGTGTTTCGCCAGCCTTGGAAAGTGCGTTGACCAACGCGGCGTATGCGCAATCGGTTGACAACCCACTCACATGGCCGCAGCCCCAAAAGAAAATCGTTTTCCTCCCCATCCGATTCTGCTTAGACAAATTATGTGCGTCTGTGGTCCTTGCCTCTGGCTAATTATTGTCTCCTCTTTTTGTATCTTTGCAGGTGAGTTTCCTTTGTGGTCAATCGATTGGAGTCCGTTCGAGAGTGAGTGGTTAATCAATTAAGTAGCAAGTACAGTAAGGCTACGGATCAAGAGGATCCCAATGATTTTTTGTACCCTGTAAAAATACTACTTGAAAGTTCTGCTGGGATAAAACAAGATTGGGCTTACATGGTTTGACTTTAGGTTCTATTTAAATTAAACCGAGTGATCTTGAATGGCACACATTAAGTTCTCCAAATGAGTCGATTCTTGGCTCGTTACTATGTTGAATATCCTTGCTTTCAGTAATTTGGAGGAAGGCTGTTGCCATTGGAGGTATCTTTACAATATCAAACGCAAACTTGACCGCCGGCTCGGCCAAAATTATTGTTGTTCCCGCCATTAGTAAAACTTGTCGGTGTTTTGCAAAAATGTTGACGTGCAAATTGCACAGGCAAAAGTTTTCTCCATTTTCCCGTGCCTTTTTTTCTTATTTGCCGTCTGGAAAAGCGACGAACGTCATTAGAGGCAACAAAATATTGCTGCTTATGCTGTTTGTTTGTTTGTTTTTGCAACGCGCGCTGTTTTATCGGAGGGAGAAAGAGAAAAGCCGATCCACGAATTCTCCATTTTGCCATGAATTATTCATTTCTCTCCGGCTGCGTGTGTGTGTGTGCGTGTGTGTTTAGCTTATTTCAATGTTTCATGCATAATTAAGCATTTTTGCAATTAAACGTGTGCGTGTGTCTGTGTGATTCCCGAAAGCCAGAAAACCAAAGAAAACCCTCTAGCTGAAACCCTTTGAACTAACCAAACTTTACCTTCGCTTTGAAAATTTAACTAATAACTTGGCGACGTCTCAAGGACAGCCGTCGAAAAGTTCTTCAAGTATGTTGGCTCAATATTTCTGGGAAGTTTTTGGAAACATACGTGGTAAATGGGGCATAGGTGTTCTACGAAATATCAAATCCAAAGTTTTTATCTGATCAAACCTCTTTAAAAGACCCAAACAAATTAGTGCACCATAAACTAGCAACTAACAGGAAGAAGACAGAGGTGCCTCCCAAAAATATCAGATGATTCGCACGCAAATAATGTGGGACTTTAAATTGCTAGAATCTTGATGATTTTATCTAGATTTTTCCCGTTGCCGCTTGGATACGAACATTTGTTGTTGTGATAAAAGCACAACAACACAATGAAAATATTTAGCCCTGAATTGTTTGCCAAAAAATGTTCATTTTCATCTCCTTTATGCTTCGTTTTATTTTTTGTTTTGTTGTTGGCGGCTTATTATGCCTTGTTTTTTCAGACTTTCTACCATTTTTTCTTGTTTTATTTTGTTTTACCGGCAACAATAGAGTGGAAGGCAACAACAATGGCGAATTGAATGTACAAAACTAAACAACACACAGGCACAGGCAGCCTGCCTTCGTCCGACAATATACGTAGATATACACTATATATATATAGTACTTTTCACACAATAATGTGTAGAAAAACTTGCGAAATATTTTCCACTTGGCACGCAGCATGGCCAACAGCCGTGTGTGTTTGTGCATTTTACACTTTTAATTTTATTTATTTTTAATGCGATCTCGCTTGGATTAGATAAAGCAGAAGAAAGAGTAGCAGGCTCGGGTATATAAGTTCGTTAAAAGCACAACGAGATTCCGGTGAAGTGTTGAGAGCCCATTCGATTCGGGGAATTAGTTTATTGACTGGATTTAGCCATGTTTACGTATACAAAACTCTCTTCCTGGGAGATCAATTATCCAGTGGCTGTGGTGCGAACCTAGGCTTTGTTAATAAATCCTAGGGAAATGCAGCTGCCAAGCAAGCCTTCTTGGCTATTAATAGTTGGCCGAAAACCTATGCTCGTGGGGGTGGATGTACGGGTTACGGGCTTGTACGTCTCTGGGCCCTCTTTTCTTCGCTATCATTGAAAATTCAATTTCAATTATTAGACCCGAGTGTGTGTGTGCTCGCCGTTTGGCAATAGTTTGTGGACGGTGGCCCCCGGCACTTAAATGTCACATTTTCCTATGTGGCTCGTTTTCTTGGCTCATATTTTCGCAAATTAAATTTTATTGAGCGTATCGTTTGGGCATAATTAATTTTAATTGAGGACACTACCCACACACACACACACACACACAGGCATTCACACACCCTTAACAAAGCATGGTCGTTGGGGTTTATTTATACGAGTTGCTTTCGGAGGCGGAACTCTCTATGAAGGGTGAAACAAAATTAATCTGTAAAGATTTCCTCAACACCAACATCTCTGGAACACTTGGCCATCACACCTGTCCCTCTCTCTAATTAACTTTCAATTCAATCAGAGCCGTATGTTGGCATTGGCAAAAATGCACAACTGACCACTGCCCATTGTGTGCTCAAGTGTTACAATCCTGCAAGTGCATCCTGTGGCTGCCGCACAAGTGCACTGCGAGGAATAAGCTATCCTGGTAGTTGGATAGTTGAATTCCTAAGCTAGTTCGATTCGCTATTTCGAAGAGAAATGTCGTTAAAATGGGTTTCACATGTAAGAGTCTTTGAAATTGTAGTAAAATCTCTTCGAAAGTAACTATCAACTAGATTGTAAACCCTTGGGCATGCTTTTCTCCCAGTGCACACACGCATCTCACGCATGCAGCTGCATTAAAGCCCAGCCAACGTCAGTGGGGTCTTTGTATGCAAAACATGTCCGACAGCAGGGAAGAGCCTGTTTTGTGGGTGTGGGTGGCTGGGCTGGTTGTGCGGCGTGTGTGTGTTGTTGCGTGTGTGCCTGCCCAATTGACTTTTGCTGTCGAGCAATTGTTTGGTTCAGGTAGCAGAGAGCGTCGCCCAGCAGCACATCATCATCAGCAGCAACATCAGCAGCAACAACTTGGACTGCATGGATGGCATGGACTGGCAACCGCAGGCATTGAAGGCGACGTTGCTGCCACTCATTTGCATGCAACAGTTGAACAAAGCAGCTTTAATTCAATTTCAGTCGGAGTCTCAGTTGCAACGGCGCCTGGCGCTTATTAGCAGCCATTGTTCGCGGGGAGGAGCAACTGCTCCTCTGCAACGCAATGATTTACTTGGACCTGACAATCCCTGATTAAAAACTTCTTTATATAGCTCACAACTGCCAAAACATTCGCATTATTTTGTTATGTTCCAGGGCTTTTCTTTCTGTGCAGCGCAAAACGTGGCTTTAAATAAGTAAAGGTGTGAGGGAGAGAGCTCGCCGTATAATGCCAGTTAAGTCGCTGACGCCCACCTGTGCCACTGAGTCAGTTGGTCAGGCAAACGTCACTTGGCCACTTCCACAATCAAAAGGCGCCACCAAAACACTGGCCGATCGACCAGCTTGAGTTTTTTTTCCATTCAGTTTGCCGGGTTTCTCTCAACACGCCGGACGCGATTTCAGAACCGTTTCTATATCTGCGACTGATAGTGGCTTAATGAATCAGTTACCGATTTGTGTTATCGAGGGCTTTTGTTTGCCGTGCTGATATGCAAGTGCTTTGGAAACCCCATTTAAGCCGAAAAACAAACAATAACAAAACAAAATGTCCAAGAATAAATAAGTAAAGGTGATAGGAAACCACACGAAAGCGTTAAAACTTGTTGACAGGTGTGAAAATCTATATTAACATCAGGTTTAATTGTGCACCACAAAATAAATTTATCCTAAAATTATTGAGGCATGAATGCCTTCAACAGACTTCGACATTTAATTATGAAGTACATTTTAATTTTAATGGTGAAAGATGTCAGTTAGAATATTGACAACTTAATAATGATAATACAACTAAAGTTCCTAATACAGCTCTACAAAGATTAAACAAAAACAAAACAAAATAATCAATAATAACTAAGTCAAAATGATAAATAAAGCTTTTGAGTTATGAATGTTGTGGTAGTAAATTGTTTAAGTAAAAGCGTTGCTGTGTGATTAATTATAACTTGTAAGAAAGGCGAAGGCACTTAAAGTTGTAAAAACTTAAGTAGCTTTTCATTTTATACAAAAACTATAATGTCCCCCACGTAAATCGAACTCTTGCGATGACTAATTCCACTGATAAGGCCAGAGGCCCAAACAAAAACGTAGCAGATTCGACCAAAATAATATTTCCGATTTCAATGCCAGTCGAGTAGATGTTTTGTTGATTTCTCTGGCGATATTCCCCTCACCGCGAACATGCTCCTGAAATGTGTTATTGTTGTTCACATGTTGTTCACTGTTGCTCGGTTGTTCGGTTGCTCGGTTGTTTTGTTGTTGCTGCCTGCTACCTGACGCTTGTCAAGTTGCGATAACATGCGAAATTTCTGGCAGAGCTGCACCAAAAAGGCAATACCACTTTATGCATATTAAAAACTATAAAATAACGTTCGCCATACATTGTTTTATTATATATTGATCGTTGGTTTGCCTGGCGAGTGGAAAAACTCGTTCTCAGCTTTACAACCAAATCGGTTGATGGCTCATTCAGTTGTTTATTCACACAGAAATAATAAGTTTAATTTTCGAAGATTCATCATATGTCACTAAATAAAAGTATTTATTTTTCCTGTAAATAAAAATGTGTATTACTGCGTTCTAATGTTTTGTTAAAATAAACACAGTTCAGTTTGAAAGCAATCCGGTTTTTTCCAGTGCACTGAAACGATCGACGCTGCTTCTTGGCTGCGGTGTACTATACTTTTAATTTGTGCTGCCAGTGATCTTTGGTACTACTATTTTCCGCTGAAATGTTGTTGCTGGATGTTTTTCCCATTTAAATGAGTTTTGTCTATGACGTCTGCGTATTGTTTACAAATATACGTTTCAATTTGCAGCCCCATATACATGTAGATTATACATTATACACCCACCCAGCGACACATGGCAAGCGATTTTCTGTTTGTTATTGCTCCGCCGTTTCCCCCACGGATCCATTCGATTTTCCTCCCTTTTTTCGGGGGTTCTTTTCGTGCTTTTTAGTTTCTTTTTTTTGATTTGTTTTTGGGTTTGTGGCGCTTGCATAATCCTCGCTTGTCGAAGCTGTCAGCGGTGTTGCCACTGCAGCTGTTATTGGCATTCAAATGAATATGTAAACGTCGCATCTCGCAGATTGTTTTCGCTAAATCGAAACAATAAACAATGCCACTGGTCACGACTCGCGGTGCAAGAGTCAGCATGCTGCACGCTTCCAATAACTCAAATGCAACAGCTTCTTGCGGGCGGTGAGTCACTTGATAAGGCCACGAAAACATCATATTTCAGTAGATTATCATAGGTCTAAGTGGATTATTTGGCTATTAGGTTAGCATTTTCCGGTTCATTTAAAATTTAGTTTTATTTGTGGGCCTTTTAACCGATTACCAAATATATTCATGAGGTCCATTTATTTATCTGCCTCACATTTTGATTTATGGCGCGGTTCGGAAGATAAACTGCAAATGAAAGTAAATGTTTATGCAGCCGCAGCCGCAGACAAATTGCCAGGTTAAATGCGAGCCTCGTACGACAAGCATCGATTATGTCGAATTGTAACGTTAACAGCATCCTGTTTCCTGTCTTGCCGAAAGGAAGTTGGCCCACACACAGCACGCACACCCACACATACGCACACAGACACACAGATACGCAGGGGCAACCTCAATGTAGCATACTTTGCGGCGCGTTGATTCGTGTATGGCTGCTGGCATACAGCATACATAATTGATGTTTACTCCGGAGTAACCATTCCAAACTACCGCACACCTACACACACACACACACTCGCACACTTCTGCGGCTGCGGAAGACTTGGCTACAACTTCCGCCACAACTTCCGCTCCGCTCTGAATGATTAGTTTTGGCCATGGAGCGCCGGCGTAGTCTCCTCCTGGCCATGAAATCAAACTAAGTGCCGAGACCAGGGTCCTTTATTTTTCAGCTGTTCCGCCTGGCTGGGCTCCACTGTGTGTGGGTGTGTGTGTGTGTAGTTTTCCCGCCCAAGGTTATAGTTTTGTCAACATCCCTGGAAAACTGTGAGTGTGTATTTGTTCTATTTATTGATTCATCAAAGAGTGGCCGTTGTGTGCTGAACGTTGATTATAATTTACATAATGCCAACAAGTGGAATGGAAATTTCCTTTTTACTAATTCATTACTTTTTATTTTTCATCAGTTAAAATTTGTATTGCTGGTTCTCAAAACTTTTGTACACATTGCGAGTATTGCAAAACTTGTGTCTTGTTTATTTTGAGCTAATGGCCAATTCCGCAATTGTTTTTCTATTTTAGTTGAAATATTTTAAGCCAACTAATTCTGGGCAATTTCTCGCCTGTTCAATTGCTTTTCCGATTCATTAATTTTCGCTTTGAAGCGGCGGTTTCCTTTTCACTCTCGGTTCCTTTGTCACTTCAATTGTTTTGTCATTGTCTCGGCAGCAGCATTGCGCATACGCCCAGTTGACAAATTGTAATGGCCAAGGCGTTGTTGTTTGCCGAGGGGGGCGGGGCAAGGCAGTGGGCGGTGGGTGAAGGGTGAGGGGTGAAGGACGGAGGACGGAGGGGACTCCCTGGCAAGAAACCACTTGCATTCGCTGGCTGCTGGCGCGAAAATAGAATTTGGCAATGGCTTTCGTTCATTTCAAAACCATGTGCCTGCGTGTGGACAACATGTCGCGCCACCGCACACAGGCAGCCCCAACGCAAAGATTGGGGCAGGCATCGCAGGTGCACAGGGAAAAATCGGGGGAACCTTCTGACCCTCGCAACTTGTTTATTTAATTGAGTTTTTAAGCAATCAAGGGAATAATTAGAGAAGCGAAGGCTTCTTATAGCTGATTTTTAATAAAAAAAAAATGGGGAAAGTTCAAGCATTTTCTTTAGTGCATCCTGCTACGGGCCAGCTTGATGTTGCCGCTCGGTTGGATGGCTGGCATGTTTGTTTTGCTTGTTTGTTTGCTGTTGCTGCCTGTTGCTGCAGCAACAGCACCAGCAGCAACAGCTCTTCCTGCTGGCTTTCCTTTGCTCTGGCGCTCGCCTTAATGGCCAATAAATGTCGCAGCGGATGCAAATGCAGCGCTCGGCACAGTTATCCATTTATTTGCGTAGCAATTTTAAATTTAGTTTAGATAAACAAACAAGATGGCGGCAGCGGCAGAGCTGCTCGCTCGCTGAAAGTGTGACAGTTTCTCGGCCCACGCAGTGCTGGCGAAAGATATTTGGAGGCGACCTAAATGCTAAATGCTGAATGCGACAATTGCGATGAGTTCTCCTCAGAGTCAGAGCCTCTAAAAATACGCAAAATCACGAAAGGCAGCGACAATGTAAGCAAACCTTTTTAAGCTCCCCAAAAATAACAATCAAAGGAAGGGAAGCAGAAGCAGAAGCAGAAACCGAGACGGAAACAGAAGCAGAAATTAGTGCCAGAAATAGGAGGGCATTTGACAAGTGCATGTCAGTCAGCACAGAGATTTGGCCATTATGCTGGGTAGGGTCCCTATATCCGTCTATTTATACCGGCGATCGGGTCGAAAATAGTCGCCAGATATCGCCGAATATTGCATAATCCGAGGCGTGTCTGGGAATGTCGCTTTCGCATGATGCAATGCCGCCGGCTGCCAAGATTTTCGGCGCAATTTCGCCACTCGCAGTTCGCAGTTCGCGTTACTGTCGCCACCAGTTACGAGTGGCGAGTAAGTGCAGCCCAGAGCGCCCAGTGATTCGGCAAATTGCAATTATACATTTATAATCTATGCACGCCGGGAGACGGCGGCGATTCCCAAGCCAAAAGCGCCGCAGAATCTCAGGCGCAGAAAGCCAGAGCCCCCCGCAGAAAGTGGAAAGAATTTGAAAAATAAATACCAAGTACGCGCTTTGCTATGTTTTCTATGCGGGGGCGTTCGATGGGATGGGGATGGGTGTGGGGATGGGGTTGGGGATCGGGCAACAAACTAGGTTACTTGGCAGTGCTTAGCATAAATAACTAGCACACCAGTGGCCACGCCGGCAGCACCGAAAGCCATATTAAAATAAATAAATGTGAGTGTGGGAAAGCGAAACAGAGAACGGATAATGAGCAAAACGAAAATCAATGGTTTCTGTTGGCTTTCACAATTAATTGTGGGTGGGTTTTAAAGTACGAAATTAATTTTAATCAGCATCGCATTATAGGAATATATATTTATTTTTATATTAATCATCTTTATCTCTTTTGCAGAGTCTACGCAAAGCGTGGACGGCGGACCTGCATCGTGGCGTTTAACGCTCGATCAGGATCTAATTGACACGCTCAAGGGCAACTTTCCCAGCTGGTTCCAGGGCTCAGCCGGCGGAGGGGGATTGTCCAGCAAGCAGAACCTGAATCTGAATCTGAATCAGCAGCAGCAGCAGCTGGCCCAGCAGAAGCATCACCAGCTGGTGGCCACCAGTGTCGCTCCCATAACCATCGACACCAAGCTCGCCGCCAGCAACACGAATACACTCCAGCAACACCAGCAGCAGGCGGTCGTCCTGGGCCACAGCTCCTCGTCGGCCTCGCCCGCCTCCTCCGTCAGTTCCAGCTGCTCGAAGAAGTCCGTCGGCAGCAGCAGCAGCAGCAGTCTGAGCAGCTGCAGCAGCAGCAGCAGCCACAGCAACAGCAGCTGCCACTCCAAGGGAGGCGGTCCAGCGACGGCGAGCCGCTTCCTCAACAAGTCCACCTCGACGTCGCCCGCCAAGAGCCTCTCGCGGACCCTCAAGGCCACCCAGAAGGCGAGCGGCACCCAGAAGGTCGGTCAGCTGGTCAAGTCCGCCTCCCTGCACAGCCTGAGCAGCGGCAGTAGCGGCAGCAGCAGCGGGAACAGCAGCGGAAACAGCGCCAGCGGCAGCTCCTCGCTGCTGGCCACCATCTCCACCTCGCCGCTGACCGTCGAGCTCATCTCGAGCGCTGCCTGCAGGGGCCTCCTGGCCTCCAGGCTCAGCGGAAAGGCCTTGGAGCACACCTTTCAGGACATAATACTGCTGCAGGAGGCCTACGACGACATGTCGGAGGGTGAGTTCTCATTCCTAAACTGTCGAATGGATGGGAGAACCTCACTAGAATGATTTTCAAGAACCTCTTTACTTTACTTAGTAAAGAAAGTGCTCTTAGAGACTAAGGGCAGTCACTCCTTGTCTGCATTCCAGTGTGGTTTTCTCCCTTGAAACCCTTGAAATTCGTACTAATTATGTTGTGTCCTTTGTTTCCAGGAGAGCAGCGTTTGCATCCCACGTTCCTGGGCAGCAGCGACGACGGCAACAACTCGGATTGCTACGATGCCAGGCAGTCGCCGCCGAAGGCCATCGTGGATTCCAGTCCGCTGCAGCCGGCGATGGACAAGAACAAAGAATGTGAGTTGACGGACAGCGAGTTGAATCCCCAATCTAAATCCTAATCTTAAGAGCAGTGAGCACAGTGATTAGTTCTTTGAGTAGTTTGTGTTGTAGCCATTATTTCTGCTCCTCTGTAGGCAGAACCCTTAAGTTGTTGGTGGGCTTGTTTACCCAATGTTTGCCGCCCACGTTGGCCATATTTCGGCGGCTGTTTGGCATTTGTCATCTGGTGCCTCCTGCTTAGTCATAAATGCCGGGCTGCGGGGCACATCGTGGCGATCACGGCGACATCGCCAGCGAATCAGCATCGTAATCATCAACTGCCCAGCTCGTCATTGACGGTCCCCCAGGGGCGCAGTTTTAATGAAGCTGTCACGGCACAACAGGCACTTAGGGCGTACACTTGAGGTGCCACGCCCAAGCGGCCAGCGGTGGAAAACTCATTCAAAAAAGCCAAGAGGCGGTTTCTATTTTGTCAACGGCTCTCCGTTCCGTTCGCTTTCGGCTGGCCTACATACTTGCCTGGCATTTTGAGTGAAGAGAAATATTCTTATTAATTTTGAATGGCCGAAGATGACAGGCCCAGTGTGTGGACATTGCATATATTCTCGGACGGGTATACTATATATACTGCACACTCGCTAATAGTTTTGACAGCTCTTGTCGCCTGCACTTGCGCGATTCTGAGGTGTGACCGGAAGTGGACGGTAAAGTTCAGACGCCCTGACCCTGGCGACTGACCCTCTCTAGATCTAAATATTTACGCAAGCAGGGTTTACTTCTCGCCAAAAACTGACTAAAATGCCTGGCGAATATTTCCGGCAGGCACCCAAAACCTATTACCTATCGATAAACCGCATAAACTGCACATTTAGCAGCAACCACCATCTCCCGCGCTGCGCCTGTGGGTCAGTTCGATTCGGGCTGTGTGTAAACAGCTTGGGAACGAATTTATTATAAACACATGGCTGGCAGTCAATGATGGCGGCGCTGCAGAAATGTTTTGACAAATAAACACGCTGCACGCGACTCGAAAACGCAGAGAACAGAAATAAATAAACGACGGCAGGGCGACAGTTGCACAGGCATTTTCACATTCTTCTCGGTGGCCAATGCACATTGGACCCCGCGACCGGAAACGGAATGAAATTGAATATTCTTCAGTAATTAATCACCTAAAACTAATTATATGTCGAGTATTTATATAACAAAATAGTTTAGCTTTGTGGGAAAACCTTCTATTGTTCTTTTATTTCACAAAATGTTCTATTTGAAAACTATTTTGGTGGATTAGTCCCATTCAATGTTTTGAGAGCTTCAGTGCCCTCTTTGGCCCACTGTGCCTGTCCCTTGGCGGCCATCCCATGCATTTGCCTACCCGAAACGATGGCGTCTTCGTTTATTCAGAGCACCGCTGATCACGTAATCGATTTTATAATACAGCACCACCGTACAAAACACGCATTCTGCGCTCTCTCGCAGTTCACAGTTCCCACTCCTCATTTCCCAGCCACCGCTCTCCGAGCAGATTTTCATTTTCCGCGGCAATTGTTTACCTGACCTTCGTTTCAGGCACTGGGTTTTCTCGGCGAAGGGCAGCTAACCGCAGCAAATTGCCAGCAGGAATTCTATAGGAAACTCGTTGGCCATGTCTACACACATTTATTGCTTCGCGCATAAAACTTTTATGTGTTTAATTTGGAATTTATGTTATTGTTTTTATCAATCGAAGGTGGGGGCGAGGTGGGCCGAGGTATTGCCTTCGCCACGGAACGAGGAACGAGCGGGGAAAAAAGATAAATATTTCGCGCATAATTAATTTACGGGGGCGACAGTGTCGTCACCGAGAAGAGATTTTCCAGCGTTACAGCTTTCGGTCGAAAGGCCGAGTATTTTCCCTGGCTGTGTGTGGTAAACAAAGGCAGGAATTTGTTTTCGGTTATGCTCGTACTTCTCGCCGCTGCTGTTATGTTGTTATGGCTGTTTTGCACACAAATTTCTGTGTGGCACACTTCAATCGTAAAATCGCCAACAGCCAACAGCCAACAGCTGCCACCGCCGTCTGAGACAATTACGCGCCTTGGCAGCTCTCTTGGCTTTTATGATGATTTCCGACAAAGAGCCCAAATTACTTTAATAACGTCATCGTCGCTTTGATGTCGACTTTGTTGTGGCGTCAAGTGTTTTTGTGTGTCTGCGTTCGGGCAGCCCCGAAAATGCGAAATGCGGAGGGTAAAAGGCTTCTAAGCTCCTACTTGGTGATAACCCACTTACACTTACTATACTCGGAATGCTCGCAAAATGCACTCTGGCCGCATGACTCGAAAGTGCACAATTCCACAAGAGGACGATGCATTTACCTGCACTGAGAGAAAACGAAGGGAAGCTATCTAAAGCGGATATCTTAGTGTTGATGTTGATGATCTAGCAAGTGCACAGTTGAACAACGTTTTCATTGCACTTTCATGGGGTGAACTAACCCATAAATAAAAAGATTTGGATGGGGAGTTTTAAATTCGGTATCTTCTCTACCTTTTCGGATCGTGGCCTTGGTTGGCATCCACAAAAACACCACTGCAGTGGCCTCCAGGTGGCTTTTGCTGCCCGGAATCGCCGCAGGGGCACAAGACTTTGTGTTTTCATTTCATTTGCGGCTTCGGCCTTATTTACCTCCAGTTGCCAGGCTTCCTATAGATGGAACTCCTCCCGCCTTCCCCTCCGCAGAGTCCTTGCGCCTTAATGGGCTTTATTTCGTTTTAATTACATGGCTGGCTGGTCATTTTGTGAATCAATTTCAGCAGTGCTCGGAATGCTAATTGAAGGTAATGATATTAGGACAGCAGGTCGTATGCTTAATACGCCAAAACATTCCCCGGAGACTGGAATTAGATTACACAATGCCTGCACGCATTTAATCGGCCATTTCGGATTTAATGCCGAAAGGATAATGCCCCATTAATTGATTGTTTTATGCGCCTTGCGATTATAAATAGGGGGTCTTTGAGAGAGTGCTGTCTCATGCTCAAAAATCGATTCGATTCGGGGGCTCACGAGGTTCCTTATGCCTCCCCATTATTTATTTTCCGTCAGTCTGTCACACTGGCATTATTTCTCAGCGGATTCCATCGACTGGATGCCAGTTAATTGACATCAATCTGTTATTTAGCCGCCCGGAGCAGAGGCAATCTAATCAGATTATTACGCATACGCCCCATGGGGCCACACCTTCGTCGCCAGCAGTCTCGCCAGCTTTTGGCTTTGCACTGGCTTAAATATTTAATTTCCCAGCCCGGACTTTTCACGCTCGGAGAAAATGCGTACACATTGTTCACACCATAATAGCCCGCACATAAAGATATTAAAAAGTTTTCTCTTTTTCCTCCTTTTTCGCGCTGCCTTGTTTCTCTGATTCCCCGATTCTCCGACTCCCCGATTCGCAGCTGCCTCTCGACATTTATTGCCATTGCCCTGGCATTGTCAAAAGGCTAGGAAAAGGCAAACTTTCCGCCCCGAATTATTTCCCCCAGCTGTTTCGAGCACTTTTTTATGGGATTTCTATGTTTGATCTCCCCTCCCGCCGCGTTTTGTTCTATTATTTATGATTTTTGTGGCTTTTGATTTGTTACTAACAACTTGTTGGGGGTCCATCCATGCAGCTTAACTAACTTTTTGCAGCATTAAAGTACAAATTAAATGTCTTCAAACAGAATAAATCAGCATTGTATCTTAAGGGACACTTACTACATGCAAATAATTAAACTAACGAATTACTAACAAATATTGCAGCTTGACTAACTTGCTTCTTGGTTTCCCTTGTTCTTGCAGCGCTCAAAGTGAAGCTCATGGTGCGACGTCCACATTCGCAGCTCGTCGAGCAGGGCATTATACCATGTAAGTAGATGCGTCCGAAGAGCAGATTCCATTCCTGCCCCGGGTCACAGCACAGCATTTAGCCGCTTAGTCAGATCGATAAAGTACACATTAACCTCACTTAGCCGGTCCGGAGCATCGGAGCATCTGGTGGCGCCCAATTCATCGGCTGCCAAAAAGGATATGCAAATACTGCCGAACATTTCATTTCAATGGCTTTCAAATTTATGCGCAAAGAAAAAGCGAAACCGAGGAAAAGAATCCTGGAGAATACGCAAATTTACAAACTAATTCAAAGCCCTCAACGCAACCGAAAGTGAATTTGAATTTAAATGATGAATTTCCAGCAATGTTGAGTCGCCAGGAGCGAGGAAAAGGCGAACTTACTTTCGTCCTCCGGCTCAGAAATAATTTTTGTGTATCCAAATGGGGCAGAGTGTGGTAGAGATTTCTTGGGAAATGCATTAAATTCATTATATGTCTCGTAACTCCTCATGCGGAATGCTTACATGTGCCGCTGAACTAATCGAAACTTAGTTGGGTCTTTAAACAAATCATAAATCCTGGCTTAGCATACGAGTATATTATTTTATTTATACTCCATTCAAATTGGTGTATTATTTTGTAGCTGAATATTTCCATTTCGTTTGTTTAACCAGCTTCCCACTTTATCTTCTTCGGCAGCTCTGAAAACCTCGCCCGCCATCCACGAACAATGCAAGCAGCTGGAGCGCGCCAAGACGAGCGACCTGTTGAAGGCGAAGATCCAGCAGCGGCCGAACCGCGAGGACCTGGAGCGGCTGCACATCCTGGAGGAGGACGAGTGCCACATCGACCCGAGTCTGGCGGAGAAGCAGCGCATGCTGAAGAAGGCCCGCCTGGCGGACCAGCTCAACTCGCAGATCCAGCACCGTCCGGGGCCGCTGGAGCTGATCAAGAAGAACATCCTGCACACGGAGAAGCCGATCGAGAAGATCGTCAAGGAGGGGCTCGTCTCCTTCAAGGCCACCAGCGAGGGGCTGCTCACGCGGCCGCAGCACCCGCACAGCTACGTCACCTTCGACGAGGACTCCCTGAGCTCCGAGAGCGACACGCGGCAGACGCCCCCGCGGCTCCTCGACGAGGCAATGGTCGTCGCCTCGGTGGGCTCCCCCACCACCACCGACGTGCTCCAGGCGGCGGCCGCCTCCGCGGGAATAGTTACCATGGCCCTGACCCTGCCGACGGCTGGCCAGCTGGTGGTCACCTCGCCGCAGATCCTCCCGCAGCAGCCGGCGAAGGCAGTGGTGGTGCCGGCGCCAGTGCCACCGCCTCCTCCGCCGCCACCGCCGCTCCCGGTGGCCAGTGGAGTGATCAAGGTGAAGCAGGAGACGGCCAACCTATTCGAGGAGCTGTGCCAGAGCGTGACGGGCCAGCCGGCCAGCCACCACTACCTCCCCATGCCCATGCTGGCCTCGCCCTGCTCCCTGGCCTCCAGCACCTCCACCCTGAGTCCGCTCTCCTCCATCGCCTCGCCGCCGCCGCCGCCGTCGTCGCTGAGCAGCGCACGCCTGCACCTGCAGCCCGTCTCCGTGAAGTCGGACGCCCCGGGGAAGGACAAGAACCGCAAGAAGTCCAAGTCGAAGCCGGTGTCCAAGGCGCGCACCATCAAGTTCCACGAGTACAAGGGCCCGCCGAGCGCCGCCGGCCAGAAGCAGGACCAGGCGCAGCCGGAGGAGACCTCCTACCAGCTGATGCTGGAGCAGCAGAACTGCCTGCTGAAGTTCCTGGAGAACCTCAACAAGAACCAGTCCATCATCCCGGCGCCGAGTGCCCCTGCCCCGGGTTCCCTGCTTCCCGCGACCACCAACAGCATCACGGTGACCACGAAGACCGTGCCCGCCCTGGCCTCCCAATCCGCTCCAGCGCCGGCTCCGGCCCCGCTCAGCCTGCCCAACACCATTTCCATAACGAGCAGCTCGGGCGGAGCTCCGCTGAACTTCGGGGATGCTGCCATGCTAACATCCGCTCCGGCAGCCACCGCCACCAACCCACCCACCCTCTCGCTGATCGCCGCTCCGCAGCAGCAGTTGCAGCTGCAGCACAACCAGCACCCCCAGCTGCAGCAGCATCCGCTCCAGAACCACCAGCCACACCAACCGGTGGCCGTGCAGCATCCGCCCGCTCTGCCGTCGCCGGCGCTGTCGGTCAGCTCCTCGATCCCGCCCAGTCCGGCCACCAGCTACGCCGAGTCCACCAGCAGCTCCATCACGGACCTCACGCGCCTCGAGAAGATGAAGGTCTCCGACCTGAAGCAGCACCTCAAGCGCCGGAACCTGCCCGTCTCCGGACCCAAGCCGCATCTCATCGAGCGGCTGAAGCCCTACCTTCCGCTGGAGCCACTCGACAGCGGAGGAGCAGCAAATACCGCCAACTCCAACGGGAGCAGCAGTGCCGCCGCCGCCGAGGTGATCACCATCAGCGACGCCATGGACACCAGCAACTGCGGCCTGGCGGAGCAGCCGCCTCCGGTGACCATGCTGGTCACGTCCTCCGACGTGGGAATGGAGCACGAGCAGATGGACGTGGTGCAGCAGCAGCTGGACAGCTCGCTCCCGATGAGCCTGCAGACGATCCTGCCGCCCCAGCCGCAGACGGCCACCATTATCCTGACCAACGAGGAGCTCCTGCGCGAGCAGCAGCGCAAGATCGACGAGCTGCAGCGGCAGCTGCAGCGCTCGCAGCAGGAGCTGCAGAAGATCCGGCAGCGCCAGCAGCAGCAGCACCACCAGCAGCAGCATCAGCAGACGGTCACCGCGCAGGTGGTGAATGCTCTGCCCTCGCAGCAGATCACGCTGATCACCACGACCTCGAACGGACCGCAGCAAACGTTGACTGTGGTGCCGCAGCAGCTGGAGAAGAGCATTCCCGCCAAGGTGACGGTCAAGGCCAGCGGAGGAGGAGCCAACAGCAGCAGCCACAAGGGCAACGGTCTGCAGCAGCAGGGATCGGCGGCCAAGAAGCCAGCCGGCGGCAACTCAAACGGAAGCAGCAGCAACAGCAACAACTCCTCCTCGTCAGTTAATCCGCCGCCCATCAACCAAAAGATGGTGGTCAAGCAGCAGCTGGAGGCCAAGATCCAGAAGCAGAAGGCAGCCGCAGCAGCTGCCGCACAGCAGCAACAGCAGCAACAGCAACAACAGCAGCAACAACAGCAACATCAGCAGCAACAGCAGCAACAGGTGCGCCTGCTCACGCAAAAGACACAAACTGTACTCATTCCATTCAACAACAACAACAACAACAATCACATAAACAACGCTCCTGCCAAGACAACAGCCAAGAAATCCAGTCTGTCCGCCGGGAACACAACCACCACGACCATATTGCAGGCAGCCAAGCCGGCGGCAGCAACCGTGGCAACTGCAACTCCGTCCGCTCAGCACCACAACAACCTGGGGCTGCTGTGGAACGAGGGCAACCAGACCATCTTCCTGGTGGGCCTGAACGACCAGCACATGACCGCGCACACGCTGGGCAACATCAGCCTGACGGCCACCACAGCAGCAGCACCTGCAGCAGCTGCAGCAGCAACAACAGCAACTGCACTTCCTGCTGCTGCTCCCAAGAAGCTGCTAAATGGCCACCAACGCACAAGCTCCCTGCCCAGCATCGTCTTCCCCATCGAGGCCAAGTCGATCATCACGCAGCAGCAGTTGCAGCAACTGCAGCAGCAGCAGCAACAACAACAGCAGCAGCAACAGCAGCAATTCCAGACGGTCCAGCAGCAACCACAGCAGCAGCAGCAGCAGCAGCAACTCATCCAGCTGGACATCAAGCCCACGCCGGCACCTCCGCCGCAGTACGAGGAGGCCACCAAGCAGCTGGCGGCCAGCAAGGCGGCGGCTCTGAACGGCCTCCTGCCGCTGGTGAAGATCAAGGAGGAGCCCGTGCAGTCGCCCGCTCCGGCGGCAGCTCCTCTGGCCACGACGGCGCCGCTCAGCAAGCGCAAGTCGGCGGGCATCAAGTCCGAACAGGTCAGCGACGTCCTGGACATCCTCATCAAGCAGGGGAGCTGCCCGAGAGCGCCGCCCTGGAGCCCATCACCCCGCTGACTCCGCTGCCCGAGCTGTCCATGTTCAACGGGGCCACGGCCACGCCCACGACGGCGGCGGGCGGGGCCAGCATTGTGCCGCTGGTGCCCAAGCTGGAGGCGCCCGCCACTCCGGCCCAGTCGCTGGACATGGCCATGGACACGAACGAGGCGCACGTGGGCTTCGCAGGCGGACAGCACAGCACGGGCTTCATCGAGAGCATCGACATGGGCTCGCCCCTGCAGGCGGATCCCTCGGCCATCGACGCGGAGAGCGTGGCCAAGACCCTGGACATCTTCCTCGAGCAGCACCACGCCACGCCCCCGCCCAGCACGCCGCCCAAGAGCTGCCACAGCGGAAGCGAGAAGCCGAACAGCCCGGACGCCAAGCTGAACCACTTCGACGAGTACGAGCTGTTCGAGCTGATGTCCCAGCAGCTGGAGATGGACATGGGCGACGACTCCACCGGCTACTGCCATCCAGCGGCAGCCAAGAGCAACGTCATCAGTGGAGGCAGCAACAACAACGGGAACCTGCTGCGCGATCTCAACCCCAGCCTGCAGCCCTCCATCAACGAGCTGCTGGACGCGAGCAGTCCGAAGAGCGTGCTGCTGAACAACAACGCCTCCGCCGACGTGGACTTTGACGCGGAGAGCTTTGTGGCCCAGCTGAGCCAGCACGTGGTGGGCAACGGCAACATGAACAGTCCGGGGGTGAGCTGCAACGGGTCCGCGGACCCCTCCTCCTCCTCCTCGGCGGTGAACGGGCACTTCGGCAGCCACGGCACCCCGATGGACTGCGACGACTTCGAGAGCACGCTCAACTCGTTCATGCAGGCGGTGAGCCATCCGCAGGCGGGCCAGCACGGGGAGTACTCCGCGGCCGGGGGAATGGCCAACGGATCGGGCGGAGGCGGAATGGGCGTGGACAACGGCAGCGGAGGAGCCGTGGACGTCTTCAATGCGAGCGGCGACATCTTCGACCTGTTCAACATGGACGACTACAAGATGAACTGGGCAGCGGGGGATTTCACGGTCTAAGTGGATTATCCTTTTCACTTATTTTCCTCCCTCCCAAAGGGGAGGAGCTGAGGTCTTCAAAGCAAAGCCATTTATTTCCCCGACTTTGTTCCGCATCGAGAGAAAGATAGAAAACAAACACACAATCCAGCGTGGTGCTCACTTTTCTCAAAATATTCCTGAAGAATTCGTTTCGAAGAAAGCAAACACACACACACATTTACACAACAAAAACAAAACCAATCCTATTTATTTTCTAAATGCATTTAAAACATTTGAACGTCAGTTGAAATTTCGAAACTTTACTATTTCCAAGAAACAAAAAAACAATGCCAAAATTGCCGGGAGTGACACTCCAAAAACCATACTTTTGCACCCTTTCCTATATAAGCAAGAAAAACAAATAACAAAAACCACAAAAACAAAAAGAAAAGCAGCCAAAACATTTAGAAAAGAATAACAAGTTAAACTTACCATAACAACTATCATTAAATCGTAAGCCTACAAAAGTGTAAAGATCGATAATGAGAGAAAAGTAAAACAAAAGTACATGTTTCTAATGAAGGTCATTCCAATTTGAGAATAATGCGAGTGAAATCTAACTAACTAAACAGAATGGAAGGATGAATGAGTTCATATGGGTTGAGGATCAGGATCAGAATCACGATCAAAATCAGGATCTGCAGAAAATGAGGGAGAGAAAGCGCTATCAGAAATGAGAAAGCAAAAAAATCTATAAAAAGGTAAAAAAAATTATATTCTTGTTGTGAGAACGACTTAAGTGAAACACATTCAGTAATTTTGTTTTAAGTTCTATTTAAAATGAAATGAATTAAATTATTAAAAGCCTGCGCAGTGCTTCATGTTTATTTTAAAGCAAAATTAAAATAATTATTAAATATTTAAACACAATTTGAGAAGTATTTCCTTTAAGGAAAGAAAAAGCCTTTAAAGTAGTCGAAGCCACAAACCGGTTAAATAAATTTTTGAACTCGGGTCAAATTTATTTCAAATTCTAGGGAAAATATATGCGAGTGTATTCATACTTTCTTTTTGTTCTGCATTCTTGGGCACAGCGAATTCCGTTACTTAAATTAATTCTAACGACAATATATGAATAACATTTAACTTAGGTTTTTCGTAAAGTAATTCAATCCTGCGGCGTGTACTTAACGCACATTTTTATCAGTGTCTACCGCGATTCGCATTTGGATTCGGATTCGGAATTAAATCGTTCATCTCTTCTACCATACGCATACATTTTCGGCTAAGTATACTTTGTAAATTGAGAGCATGCCAAGCATTCGGACATATTTTTGAGTGTAGGGCTCATTAAAATAAATTTTAAACGTAAACTAAAGTAATATTAAGCAAAGGACACATTTCAAGAGAAGTAGCAGGCGAGCAGAACGAAAAACCAATTCAAAATTGAAACATGTGAAGAACTCAATACACCAATAAATATATTTTTGTATAAGCGAATAACATATATAGTACTCTACGTTTAGATCTAGTCTTAAATTTCACCAACCATCTCACCCGCAGAGCAAAAGTTAATCATCACTTGACACTTGTTTACATTTGCAATAATCCGATTCGAACACGAATAGAGATCATCGAGGCGCTTTGAACGCAAATGAGAACGTTTCCATTACAGCAATTCATACGTTAGTTTTAATGAGTACGTTTATTGTTAGCAGCAAACTTAATTACCATAACTAAACTTATTGTTTGATTAATTCTAAATTTAATTACCCAAATATCTAATTTAATATGTTGGCTTGAACAATTTTGTGCGTTGCGTTTAAAAGAGATTTCACTTAAATACAATACAGAATAAACTGAATCACGTCATGAACAATGTGTAATTTCTTAGCCACAAAACGGACGAGAGTCTGCAATATATAATATTCTTAACAAGTGATATACCGATATACTTATACTTACACTACACACTTGACTATGTGCAGAACCCAATGCGTAAATAAAACATAATTCATTTTCCAAAACGCGCTGCCCGGCGCCCGGACTTAATTTACTTACCAAACTGATTAGCGAAAGCCAAACAAACGATTTGGCCTTATCAAGTTTTGAGCCCTGCGAAGCATAATAAATACGCATTTAAGCGCATTACGCTTCGGCGGAAGATAAATTCCACATTAAAATTAAAATCAATGACAGAATAATACGCAATCATAATGATTTTATGGCAGCCACAGCCACAGACTCAGCGGCATCAACAACATCAACAAAACAAGGCTTATCATTAGCCAAAGCGGCCATTCCTTGATTGGCCGCCCACCACCCACCGCTCAGCGTCCACCGCCCACTTGCTGGCCGGATTTTGGGGGCGGGGTCTGGCTGAATTCGAGTTGAGCTGTTTATTTTTAGACCCGAAACGAAATCAGCAAACAATATGACGCAAAATTGCAGCAGCAGTGGCAGTCGAGTCGAGTCGAGTGAGTAGCCATGGCAACAATTGTCAGATGTTCCGTAGTTGGACGGCTGCCAAGCGTTATGGCTTGCGGCCCGAGGACAAGGAGGGAATTTGAGTGGAGAGTGGGGAGTGGCGGAGAAGGACCTCCTGCCGTGCACTGCCTTCGCACACAGATAAAGAGACGGAGCATCCTTTCAGAGTGGACCTGGCTTCGTCCTCGGAAAGGGTCTCCTGCTACTTGAGTGGCGAGTTCTGTTGTCTTTGATTGGAGGAACAATAACTTTGCATATTTTAAGATCCTTTTCAGCAGCGAGAGTCTTTCAAAAGTAGACAAAGCAGTTGATATAATTTCGAAGGCATAAGCGAAGGGAATTCATTGCATTAAACAATAGACAATTTCTACGAACCTAAAGGGAGTAATTCCTTACTAGAACTTATTTGGGTCAAAAGGTAGCAGTGTAAATAATTTATTTATAATTGAATGTTTAGTATCGTTAGATAATGCACAAGATTAGATACTCAGTGCTTCGTTATCTTGCTGACATTCAAGTTAATGCCGCCCTCGGCGCTCAGCAAAATGCTGGCCACCTTGTACTTGATCGGAACCGAGGTCTTCGTGGGGTGCAGCTCGAACCGGAAGTTGTGGATCAGCAGGGCCATGCCCACGACGACCTGCATCCGCCCGAAGCGGAGGCCGATGCAGTTGCGCGGACCCTCCCCGAAGGGCAGGAAGGTGCAGGCGGGGCGCTGCTGCACCCGCTCCTCGTCGAAGCGCTCCGGGATGAACTTCTCCGGCTCCGGATAGAACTCGGGGTCGTGGTGGATGCCCAGCGTGGGCACCAGCACCCCCGTCTCCGGCTCGATGGAGTACTTCGGGTTGCTGTGCACGTAGGGTTTGGTGGCGATGCGCACCAAGTGGGCCACCACTGGATGCTTCCTCATTGTTTCTTCAGGGAAAAGTCTAGTTAGGATCACATATCATATGAAGGGACTGGGAGACTCACCATCGATTACCTTCTCCAGATACGTCATCTCCCGCATGCTGTCGTAGTCCAGCTTCCCCCCGTGCTTCGCCAGCACGGAGTCCACCTCCGCTCTCAGCTTGTCCTGCACATCCTGGTTGCAGGCCAGCTCGAACAGGGCGAATCCCATGGTGGTGGAGCTCGTTTCGAAGCCGGCCAGGAAGAATATGAAGGCCTGGGCGGCGATCTCGTTGAAGGTGAGCCCGTCCTGCTTGTCGCCGGCGTCGAACTTCAGCTTCATGTCGATCAGCATGTCCATGAAGTCGTTCCTGGTCACCTTGTTCTTCACCCTGTAGTCGATGGTGTCCCTGACTATGTCCATGTAGAACTTCTCCACCTCCGGCAGCAGGCTCTTGATGCCCAGCTTGGCGGACAGCTTGGGCGCCCCGAAGAGGAGCAGGTCCACCAGTCTGCCATGGCGTCGCTCTCTGATCGCCGAGTTTCCCATTCGCACGAACTCCGCCTTGGGGTTCCTCAGGCTATTGCACTCCAGCCCGAAGGCGCAGATGCCAATGACGTCCGCTGTGAATCGGGAAAGGAGATCTGTGACTTCCAGGGTTTCAGTGGAAGTGGTGATCTTGTCCTGGAAAACCCGGATGAGTTCATCGCCCACGTTGAGCACTGTGGGGAACATGTTCTTCATCTTGCCGGAGGTGAAGGTGGGCGTCAGCTTCTGGCGGAGAGTGCGCCACTTCTGACCCTCGACCGTGGTGAGATTGCTGGTCAGCGGATCGTCCCTCTCGTTGTGGAACACCCCGCGATCGTGGAACTTGTCGAAGTCGCGGATGAGGACGGTCTTCACGAAGTCGATGTCGGTGACCACGACGAACTTCTTGGCGTAGACGTAGAATCCCACGAAGGGTCCGTCGGTGCGGTTCTTGAACTTGAAGTAGGTTCGCTTGAGGATGTGCGAGAGCTGCATCGTTCGCATGAGTTCCCTGGTGTTCCCGAGGGGAATGTGGGGGGATCGTGGGGGATCCCACGCCGCTTCCAGTAGGTGTAGTTCTGGTGCACCCACCACGCGGCGAGGGTGAGAGCACCGATCAGCAGTCCGATTAGCACAAACATTCCGAGAGCACTGAACGAAAAGCTCTAAGTTCTCTGTTTATATCGAAATCGATTCGAGAGACTTTGGAACGCTCCAATCGCTCGCCGGTCGCCGGCCGCCGGTCGCCGCTCGCTTCTGAATCACTTGCCGTGATGAAAGCGGCGCCAAACAACGCGAAATTCACAGTTTCTACCGAGAAAGATCTCTTAAACCTGTCTCTTTAGAATGTTTTTTATCTCTTTATGTTAGGTGTAGGTAGCAAATCAGTTGACCTTACATAAGAATGTTTGCCTTACTTAACCAAACAACGCAAAACCAAGGTCAACAAGCCTACATCTCGTTTTTATAAGTTCAGCAGATCTATAATTAGTGTGTGAATTGTGAAATCCATTTTGCGCTATGCCTCAGGTTAAGTGAATAGTCCTTAACTAATCTGAATGAAATGGCTTTGACTGGTAATAAAACCGATTCCATTCAATGGCTAAATTATGGGATTACAAGCGCACACAGGCGAAGGTAAATCAGCTATTGTTTAAAATTTCAATACGCATTCAGCGATTGTCATCGATGGCTTAAAGCCCTCCCTGAATCGATGGCCAACTCGTTAATTCCGGCCGGGAAAGCTATGCCATTACCTTTAATAACTCGCCGCATATCCATGGCAATTTATGCACCTATTCCTCGCTGTTTTGGGCCATTGTTGGCTGCCAGCCACAGCGAAAACAACAGCGTCAACGCGGCACAACAGCTGCAATATGTGCCAGCAACAGTTGCCCAGCACCACGCACCACACACCACACACCCACCGCACCACCCAACCACCCCCGCGAATCCAGAACCACCCGTCGCGAACTAAATTTATACAGCGGTGGCTGTAATTTGCGTTATTAAAATGGCGTCAGTTGCTTACCAAAGCGAAAAGTTTCGCCACGCCCCCCTCGTCGACCGCCAATCCTTGGTCCTCGTTGGTCCTTGGTCCTTGGTCCTTGTCACAGGAGCCCTGCGAGGCGCTCCACGCTTCTCTAATTGTGTTCGAGCTGCGCTACAATCAAGGCTTCCTGCGACGGCCAGTCGAGCTAATTGAGATTTATTCCTGCGAATTGGGCATTTGGCCGGGGCTCAATGGGATTTTTAGCAAGGCGGAAGGATAGTGAAAGTATCCCTTGCCTCACTCGTATTTATGTTCCTTATATAAATATTCAGTCCCTTTCAAGCAATGGGAATGTTCAGGTGTATCTACTTATAAATAAATCTCAAAAGGGTCGGGACTTTGAGCTTAATCCCTTGATCGGTGCCCCATAGAGGTTTCCTAAACTGCTCTAGCCGAAGCCCCATTGCCTTTTGACTCGGCCGAGCAACAAGTCGGCTGAGGCCATCGTCCTTCGGGGTCAGTCCTGCTTGCCACCCCTGCCAAAGGACACCCCAGTCACCCAGTGGAAGTCCACACCAACCACCACCCACAATCCACAATCAAGTCAGCAAGTCAAACTGTTGCTTTCGCTTTGCTGGTGCGAGTTTTTACTTTCCCGCCAGCTGATCGATATCAATTGATTGAGCCGCGCTTAGGCCTCTGATTCCTTGCCTTTTGATTAACAAAAGGAATTCCCAGCGCCTCGCAAATTATGGGCCACTCGACAGCAATTTCCCGGCACATTATTCAGAGTTAATTACTTTGTCAAATAAAGCGTTTTGAGCCACGGCCAAAGCCCCGCCATTGTTCTTGCCGGCTTTGGTGTGAAAATTCAATTAACTCTCGCCGTAAATGGCCGAAAATACGGCCTAGCCAAGAATCTGTCTGGCAACTATTTGCATTGAACAGTCGGCAAAGCCAGTTAAAAGGGAAAACAAGGAAGAAAACAACGGCAACAATGGCGACGATGGTTGTTGGCTGTTGGCTGTCGCGATTCTTGCGTCATTTACCCAAGTTTATGCTAAGACCACTTGTCGTCCTCGCAAATTGTTCTAATTAAGAAGACCAAGTTGGCGACGAAGTTGGCCGAAGGGGCGGGGTGTTCGGGCAGGTAAAATGCCAAATTAAAATCGTAATGAAGTACTTAAGTTGTGTTTTCTCAGACCTTTTTTGATGACCTATCTGAGGGTACTTCGAACTTATCAGGGAATACAAAAAGGTTATTAAGAAAACTTAGTTTGCTGGTGGTTAATTCACAATTGAATAAAAGTATCTTCAAAACATATTTCAATATAACATTTTATTATTTTATTATGACAGAGTATAGGATGCTTACTAAATAAAAGCTGTTGACATTCTGTAATTTGGTTCCTCTTAATTCAGCCATCTTGCTGTTGGCCAGCGAGGATTTGAGTTCCAAGTGGTCCCGGCATTAGCGTCAAGTGCTCGGCTGTCTTTCCTAGGGCTTCCACATAATTAAGTTGTAGCCATTGAAAGTGGGCAAAGGATTATGCTCGCTCCCCGTTTCTCGCTCCTCATCCTGCTGTCCCTGGTCCTTTGGCCCACTTCCCTCCTGGCTGTCGCCATTAATTGAGTGTCATGGCGAATGCAAAATAAGCTTACGCATTTAGTTGACATAGCCGTCAGGGATAAACTGCCAGCTGGTCATCCAACTCAATGACAGTTGCACTTGCAGTTGGCCATCGCAAAATAGATTTTTAAGCCATCTAATGACAGGCAATTAGCTTGGATTTTTTCTAACTCTCACTTAATTGAATTTAATTGTTCTTTAGATATCGAATATAAAATGAGGGAGCTGAAAGGGTAATGGATTGACGTACGTGTTCTGCTAAATTTAAAGTAGTGAATGTTCGTGCAATTTATTACAATCCAAGCTCGTTAAATAATAATACTAAACAAGTAGCTTCTAACGAGTCTAAAAATAAACCGAATTTTTAATCAAAAAGTCTAAAAGAAGTTGCCCTGAAAAGTAGGCCACAAATCGCGCATCCCACCAGCGAATGGCGAATGGCGGGAGTCTCGGAGTCAGGAGCCTCGAGCGAGGCGGTCCATCTGGTTTTCATCTATTCGCCCCCTCCCTAAACCCTGACCTCCGACCTCCGACCTGACCCACCGCCTGACCGTGGGTCAATATTGGCTTGCTTTACTGCGCTCGGTTTGATTTTGTTTGCTCTTGGCTGCGAGCGTGCGGAGCGAAACTTTTGCCGCAAGACTCTCACACGCGCTGGATTCTCGGCGAGAATGTGTGCAAATGTCGGGGATATTCCATGGTTAAACAAAAGCATTTGCATGAAAATGTTTTACTTCTACTTGGAGTTTTGTGTGTGACGAGCAAATGGAGGGGAAACCAGTGGAGGGACTGAGGGACTCGGGGTTCCGGGGGCTCAGGGCTCGCCATTTGTTTGCTTTGTGCTTGGCCTTCCTCCGCCGCCGTGCAGTGCTAATTGAAGCGGATTCTGCAGCCCCCAAGAAAATTCACCGCCTGTAAAATGGAAAACTTAATCTGGAAAAATCAATCTGCAATAAAAATAAAATTAAGGATGCGACGGAAGAGAGCGACCAACGAAGAGGGGAGGCACATAAAGAAAAACCGAGAAAAATGGACGCACGCAGGACCCTCGGCCGAAGGCAAAAGGTGTGTGCGTCAGGATTACGCGGCGTTTCAGCATTTCGGCATCTCGAGCGGGCGAGGGTCCAAAGGATATTCATAAATAAATATCTGCAGGCATACAAATTGATAAGCTGGCAGTCAGGTCCCGCCCTAAGCCCCAGCATTCAGTTGCCAGCAGCCAGCATTCAGCAGCCATCCTGCGATGCCCAGACCCTGGCATCTTAATCGACAGACGCCGCATACCTTTTCGAGGCCTGCGAAATCGCCAGTCAACCCCGCCACTTCGAGTGGGAGGAGGAGTGGGGAGGGGGAGGTGGATTCCGGACAGGTCCCACCCAAACATCCCCCGACGACTGGCTGGCTGACAGGTAAACACTGGCTACACTCGAAGAACAAGTGGCCTCCACTCCATTGCGAAGGTCGTTTGGGGGGAGGTTTTTACCTCCATAAGATATATCAGAGGGGAAGATTAATACTCCTTTTTATTGTAAACAGAACTAAAATGATTCCGGAAATCGTAATCACTTAAATATTCACTCTTAAAATAACCACAAACATATTTCAATGCTTGTAGCTTAGCTAATGCAAATATTACACTTAACAATCTTGAATACTTAAAAAAATAAAATGTTTCTCCGATTTGTAGAGTTTTTTTAGGGATTCCAAGCGATTTTTTCCACGTCTCTTCCTTTTGCAGCATTCTAATGCCGTTCGTCCTTCAACAGGCGCTGCTCCTTTCACACGCAACGCCCATCTCCTGCCTCACTTTTCCCTTTTCACCGCGCATTGGCACATTTTCCTTTTGCTGCCTCCTCAGCTTTTTTCGCAGCCTTCTTCCCCCCGCTTTCCACTTTTCTTGGGGGCCCATTGAATTTTATTGTGCGCTCAAATTGTTTTGGTATTCAAGCTTAAAGCACGCGACTGCTTCTATGCCTGTGGTTGTGGATGTCCTGCCACTGCTGCCACCGCTGCCACTGCTCCTTCCTTCCGCCCGTCCGCTCCTTCGGCTCTTTCAGCTCTTTGTTGCTGCTGCAGGTCCTGCGACTGTGGGCTGGTGTGCGTGCGATGTTTTCGTCCTCGGCGATGTTCGCCTGCCTTCCAGCGTATCCTGTTGCTTGCGAAACGCAACCAGTTGAACATTTCCAGCAGGACTCTCTGGGCCTCGTCCCCGCTCGGCTTTCAATGTCGTCCTGCGGCGCTCTCTCGGCGAAGGCTTTCTTTCCTCTCTCGCTCTCTGGCTGCCTCTCTCTCTCTCTTCAAGATATTCGGCTGTTGCTTGGCACATGTTTAACGCGCAATTATTTTGGTCCTGTTGCGCTTTTTCCCCAGTTTGCGAGTGAGTATGGGTGGCCTGCCTAGTTTGTATTCAGACAAAGTCAACTCGAAGTCGCTAAAATAACGTAATTAATTCTGTTATCAAGCACTTAAAGATACTCTTAGTTTTTTTTTTTAATATTTAAAAATAAATAGTTCTAGTTCTTATAGTTCTTTCTTTATACATTTCCGATTCAAAGATGGATTCTGTCCTCTAAGAACTTTTTAAATGATGTATCCTCAAATTACAGAGTATTTACTAGTAAAAGTTGTATTGTATGTTTGGTATTTAATATAATTTTCTTGGAAATTTGTCTGTTTGGGTGATGTCCCTTTCCGAAACCCTCAGAGTGTCCTGATAACCAGCTCGCCATCGCTCCCATCAGCGCTTTCGCTTTCGCCTTGGCCATCCACATCGACATCAGCGTGATGACGGCCATCAGCATCATGGCATCGCCGTGGCATGCAACAATTATGGGCAACTCCACTCGGGTCCGCTGGTCCGCTCGTGCTGCGGAGCTGGCCGCCCGAGCGGATGGAGAGCGCGCACCTTGTGGCAAGTGCGTGGGCGAAGGGGGCGGGGCGATACGATGTGGCAGTGGGAGGTGGAGCTGCCTGCATCCGCATCCAGGGAAATCGCTTAGCTGTTGCTTCGTACGCGCCTCGCAAGGTGGAAATTGATATTACTTTTTAATGCTGGGCCAGCTGTGCCAGCAGGACTTCCAGTGCGCGACAGGGAAAGCTGTATCCCGCGAGCACGAGTGCGACAGAGAGGGAGAGAGAGAGCGGGGCTCGGCGAGAGCGCACAGGAGGCGCCGAAGGACCAAAGCTGCCAGCCTCGTCACAGTTCGAGTTGAGCCGTCTCGCGAGCAGGACACCGAACGCGGAGGCTGACAATCCTGGCCGATCCAAGCCGAGCCAGGAGCTAGGGAACCAGGAACCCAGGCCATAGGAGCCATAGCTTTCTAACTTCCCCGGCCAAGGTGTGCGTGTACATGTGCGTGTAAGTGTGCGTGTAAGTGTGCGCGAGTGTGGGTATCCTGCCTGATTCGCAGTCGCTGGTGTGCGTGTACATCCGTGTGTGTGCGTAACTCGGCTGCGGCCAAACAAACCTGAAACCTGAAAGCCAAATGAGTGACGAATAAGTTTAAATCCGCGCGCCCAACACACGCTACCTGAAAGTACACACTTTTCCCCAATAAATACAAACACTACTCGCATTTTGAAATAAAAACATTTTGACCGCAGGTGAGTGAATCGAGTGTGTGTCGAGAACGCTTGTTATAAAAGGACTCGCGCGGCAGGCTAGCAAATAGTTTAATTTCCGGTCTGGCCATCAGGCGAACATCCGGTTTCAGTTTTATTTCCGCCTTTCCGCCTGTGCTCACTGCTCATTCACATGTGCAGAGGCACGGGCTCCCAGGACTTAAATTAATTTTTCGTGCACTAGAACGAGTTTTAAACTGGCGAAAACAAGTTATAACTTTTACTTCTGAGATAGCCAAAATCTATCAACAGTTTTTATTCGCTTGGTATTATGAAACGCCAATGATTTCCCACTGAGGAAAACTCGATTACAAAGTTAGGTTGCTTAAGCTTTTCATCTTGCTTTTAAGTTGCTTATGCTTTGTTGCCCCCTCGAATTCGCTGCTCGACATGACGTTACCAAATACATCTCGAACAGCATTACTCCGGAGCTATTGATTTTTGGTGGCCCCCTAACGAGCTGGAATGTATTAACCGGGCTTATATCTCAGCCCTCGGGGGCTTTGAGAAAAGACGGCGGACCAACACCTTCCAGGCTGCGAAATAAAACAACTTAATGAAGCAAGAAATTGAAAACATTATCAAGGCGATTAATTATTGATACTTTGATGCTGCTTGCTGCTGGCCCCCGTCTAATTAATTTATAATTAAGTTAAGCGGGGCCCGGGGTCCTCTTCCTCTTGGATTCCTCTGGCCGGGCTTTAAGTTTAAGATGAGTGCGGGATAAGACCAACTTAAAGCTGTCCCCGCCACCTGGCCATCTGAACTTGCCAGCGATTGAGACCTTATGAACGTGACCCGCCTGCCTCATCGAGGCAATCAGTTTCGGTTCGGTGTGAGTTGGCCAACGCAAAGGCAGCCTTGGCCAACGCAGCCAACTGTCATTACTCTTGGCCCTAATCCCTGCCAAAGTTTGTGCCGCTCCACTCGAGGGGATCCGAGTACAGGGCTCACTGTAGTCCCTGCTCGGCACTTTCACCTGCCTCCGCGTCTGGCCGAAGTCTGCCCAAAGTGTTTTTATTATGCCATTTTAATTTAGATTCCTATCAATCAGTAATAAGCGTTCTGTCCACCGGCGCGGACCGAACAAAAGCGTAAAAAACGGAAAGATATTAGCCATTAAGGTCGGAGGCATTAGCTTAATATCCGCTTGATTTTTATTACAAAAACTTAATTTAATCGCGCTTTACGACTGAGTGGAGAAAGCTGCGACTGTGCTCAAAAATTAAATTTTACCGCAGTTTCAGCCACCTGAGGAAAAACATTACCTATTCATTATTGATCCAGTGAATGTTTTTCACTCTGCGCGTTTAGTTCTACTAAAATGGAATACATAATCATTCAATCAAGTGTTTGCTTTCATATTTTTCACGATTTTGTTAAAAGCAACTGTGTAGCAATGAAACTGAATTCTAATGAAAATAGTGAATCCTGTTAGTGGCACTGAGTACACATCTCTTCAATACTTTAAAAACTAATATCCCAGAGAACACTGAACGATAGATGTTGAATGTCAATCCCAGATTCGACAAATTTATTTGAATGTTCGAACAGGAATCACAAATGTATAGACACATCCCCCTGTTTTGGGCGGCGTTTTTATGGCATTAGAAGGAGTAAACAAAGTTGTTTAGTTTCCTGTTTTGAGCGGATATGCAAATCAAGCGGCAAAACTCATTTCGGATTCCACACAAAATAGCCAGCGACGAGACAAGAAAAAGTTGGCCAAAACAACAAACAGTGGTGGGCGGGGGGCGGGGTCTGGCTGAAAAAGAAAACTCATTCGGATCGTTTGCATAAATTTGCGTCTTATTTTGTTGGCAATTTATATGCGCAGCCGGGTGACACACGCATTTTAATTGAAAGCAAATAAAAGACTCTATAATACATAATATGACAAGCCATAATCCTGACAGCAACAGTTATGCATGCTGACAGCTCGCAGCGGAAAATGGGGGAAAGCGGGCCGCCAGTGGGGCGGGAAAGCCCGGAAAATGGACAGCGTTCGCAGGCAAATGCTGACAGGCCGGCCATCCCAGCGAACCTAATGGCATTTTAAGCAACTGAGCGATGGCCAGTGAAGGGGAATTCATGTCCGTCCTGTCCCTGTCCGAATGTATTCATTAATGTCTTCTCCAAAGTCAAAGTGTTTAAAATGTTGAACACGCTCGGGGCACATCCTTTGCCATCACAACACACACACACATGTGGCACCCCAGGATCCCAGGATTAAGCCTTTGTTTGGTCCCTGCTTAGCTTAGCCGCCTTTGGCTCATTCTGGCTGCGCTTTAATCAAAAGCAAAAATTAATTAACTTTATTCCGGGGCTCCCGTTGGCTTTTCTGCCGCGTGTGTAGTGAATAATGAACGACTCCGGATTGTGAGATGCAAAATCCCGAATTGCCGCTTCATTTGCACAACAATTTTTAATAAAGCAGCAAAGTGAGCGCGTTTTTTCGTCGGCTTCGGTGGATCCTGACCGGGGTTTCCGGACGCAAAGGCAAACAAGCGGAGGAGGGCCAAAAAAGTCCGGGCGAAAGATAAAAAGCGCGTAAACAAATAACCGACATGGAGCGCATAAAGCGAATGATGCTGGCCACAGGCGCAAATATTTATTTTACATTTTTAAATAAGTCGCTCACATTTGTTGTATTTGTGTTTGGCTTTCTGCCGTCCTGCTATCGGATATACACAAAAGTGCTGCAGAGGAAAAAATAAGCAGAGCTTGGTGTTTGCAAGATGGTTATCGGCTTAAACCTATTTGCCCACTAATTGAAGTCCCTCTTCTGTCCAGGAAAAGTGTATTCTCTTGTCTTGTCTGGCTGATATTCATATAAATGTCTCTTCTTTCCATTTCTAATTCGAACAATCAGTTTTTTTCGGCTGTGTACAGGAGAATGGATGGCTGTCTGGATGGGGAATGAAATTAATTGAATTTCGTTGGAATGTCCACTCATCACGAGAGTCAGGAAGGCTCCCTGTTTTTGCTCCCTCCGTTTCGCTTGCAAAATTGTGCAAAGTGCAGGTTTTTGCAGAAAATCAAAGGTTCTAAGTGGAGGGATGGGGGAAAAGCACCTCCGAACTCCCAGTTTTCCGCCCAACAGGATGCACTTGTCGTTTGCACACTCCTCTATTTACTTTCTGCGGCTCGACGAATTCTCAATTAAAATGTTTACCCTCAGTCCTGGGAAGCACTTTGGAGCAGCTCTTGTTCGCTGGTAATTTGCATACGTGGATGCGAGACCGAGTCCCGAAATACAATTTCTCGTTAAGGCCCCGTAAAAGGCAACTATTCGACGGGTGAAAAAGCGTTGGCTGGCTGAAATAAATTACGCTTTTTCGCTTGTTTTTAATCCCGAAGCATTAAATTATTCCGCAGAACTGAAGAGAACTTTGTGTGAATTAAACACAGCTTTAAAATGATTTTTTGGACAGAGCACAAATTATAATGAAATTTAGCAGGGGTCGCATAAAGATTTTTTTAAAATGTTGCTATATGTTTTGGGTACATGAAATGGATTTAAAGTGGTTGTGTTTTACGGAGTTAATTAGTTATAATATAAAGCTGTTTTGTTACCTTCATTTATTTACCTTTCTTTGGCGCCTAGGCATTATTTTATTTGACAATGTAATTTAAATGATTCTCCTTGTGCGCCTAAGAAATCCGAACCAGTCTGCCTCGTTTTCCCACTTGTCTTAACTTAACAAAATCGCCGCAGCAGCGACATTGACAAAACGGTACAAATTTTACAATTTCCTTGTGCCATTTAAAGCTCGTTCTCGTTGTCGTTCTCGTTCTGGATCTGAGTCGGCCGCCGGCTGTTGGCGTTGCCATTACCGTAACGCGGACTATCCTTAATATCCGGCCCACACAAAAAGGGAGGCAGGAAGGGAAGGGAAGGGAAGTGGAGGGGAGGTACAGGGAATAGGGAATAGGGATACAACATAGGACGGTGACAGAAGGTGGATAGCCACGGCGAAGTTGCCTTCGCGCGCTGTGTTTACATTTCGCTAAATGCGACCCTGACCCGCGTCCAACCTATCCGAAGCCCTCCCCTTCTCCGCCGAGGTCCTTCCACCTCCTCCCAGTCCCTTCGCGGTCCTTTCCCCAACGTGTAATCGCTCAAAGCAGCTGATAATGGCTCCACTAGCTGCTGCCTCCCATCCTTCAGTCCTCGCATTTCAACTACACTCGGAAAAGAGTATATCTCCAATGGCCTTGAAAAAAGATATGTTAAATAAAAAATAAAAAAGTCAATATTTGTGGAATATACATATTTGGAAACTAAAGCAGCCAAAGCTAACAAATTATATGTTATAAAAATCACTTATAAAAGATGATTTGTGTTTGTGGGTTTTGTAATATTTCTTGATTATACAAATTCTTTACATAATTTCTTCTCCCTTCTCAAAACTATCCCTAATTAGTGACAATTTTTCCATGTGCACTACTGGCAAACAAAATTTGCCGCATTGTTTGGCCGCTCTCGTTCGCAGCTCCCTGCAAAATTGACATTTTATGCCTTTTCCACGGGGCGAGTGGAGTGGATTTTTCCGCTTTCTCCGGGCGGATTGCAGGGGGATGAGATGGTCTAATGAAATATTTGAGCCAGGCCAGCCGAGAGTCGTGTTATGAGTGCAGCTTACGTTTTGGGCCTTGATTAATGTAATTGGCGCCCGAGGGTCACGGTTACCGGGAGTCTGACACTTTGGGCCGAGTTGTGTACTGTTTACTGTGCTCTGAGTACTGGGAACCCGAGATGATTAATGCACGTGCCGTCCAGCGGGCAACAGGCTGGGCCAAAAGTTCAGCAACGAAAATAAACGCCGAGCTGGGCCAGCTGGAAATCGAAAGTAATTCTGCTGAAATGCAAAACTTTCGGAGCGGAACCTCGGGGTCCAGCGGCCAGTTAGCGAGCGAGCTGTTTGCTCAAAGTTTTAGGTAAAATCTCCCTACTTTTTGCCTGGCTTTCCCCCTCTTTT